TCATATAACTTGCTAGTATTACCTGTTAGTATTACTTTCTTGTATTTTTCCTGCTCTTGCTTGCTAGTATTACTTAGTCATATTACTTTCTAGTATTACATGCTAGTATTACTTTCTAGAAAAATTTCCTGCTATTACTTGCTAGTATTGCTTGCTAGTATTACTTTCTAGTATTATTTGCTAGCATTACTTTCTAGTACTACTTGCTAGTATAACTTTCTAGTATTACTTGCTAGTATTACTTTCTAGTATTTTTTCCTGTTATTACTTGCTAGTATTCCAGCTATTACTTGCCATTATTATTAGTATTACTTGCTAGTATTACACTCTAGTACTTGAAGTGGAGTAGGACGGCTATATATAGGCAGGAAGAGGTAGTGGTTGTAGAAGTACAAGAATGGAAAGTCGGACCGAAACGTCATCGTAAGCTTCTTCTTTTATGTGCGGGTTATTTGTGTATCATTCCAGTCACGGTATTGTGCCTTTTTTTGTTATTCTAGTACTTGCTAGTATTATTCCTAGTATTACCCTTCCTCGTAATACAATCCATATATTTGTTAGACAGGTCTACCAACACTTCTTGATGAAGGATACCACAATTATTATTCTCCCATACTTGCTTGATCAGTCAAGTCCAGTTAGTCCTGGGTCAGTCAGTAAAGTCCAGTTAGTCCTGGGTCAGTCAGTAAAGTCCAGTTAGTCCTGGGGTCATCATGTGCAGTAAAGTCCAGTTAGTCCTGGTCAGTCAGTAAAGCCCAAAGTTAGTCCAGGTCAGTCAGTAAAGTCCGTTAGTCCCAGGTTCTGTCAAGTTAAAGTCCAGTTAGTCCTGGGTCAGTCAGTAAAGTCCAGTTAGTCCCAGGTCAGTCAGTAAAGTCCAGTTAGTCCTGGGTCAGTCAGTAAAGTCCAGTTAGTCCCAGGGTCAGTCAAGTATAGGGTCCAGGTTAGTCCCAGGTCAGTCAGTAAAGTCCAGTTAGTTCCCAGGTCAGTCAGTAAAGTCCAATTAGTCCCAGGTTCAGTCAGTCAAGTCCAGTTAGTCCCAGGTCAGTCAGTAAAGTCCAGTTAGTCCTGGGTCAGTCAGTAAAGTCCAGTTAGTTCCCAGGTCAGTCAGTAAAGTCCAGTTAGTCCCAGGTCAGTCAGTAAAGTCCAGTTAGTTCCCAGGTCAGTCAGTAAAGTCCAATTAGTCCCAGGTCAGTCAGTCAAGTCCAGTTAGTCCCAGGTCAGTCAGTAAAGTCCAGTTAGTCCCAGGTCAGTCAGTAAAGTCCATTAGTCCTGGTCAGTCAGTAAAGTCGGTTAGTCCAGTGTCAGTTAGTAAGTAGTCCAGGTTTAGGCCCCAGAGTTCAGTCTAGTAAAGTCCAATTAGTTCCCAGGTTAGTCAGTCAAGTCCAGTTAGTCCCAGGTCAGTCAGTAAAGTCAGTTATTTCCCCAGGTCAGTCAGTAAAGTCCAATTAGTTCCCAGGTCAGTCAGTAATGTCCAGTTATTTCCCAGGTCAGTCAGTAAAGTCCAGTTAGTCCCAGGTCAGTCAGTAAAGTCCAGTTAGTCCCAGGTCAGTCAGTAAAGTCCAGTTAGTTCCCAGGTCAGTCAGTAAAGTCCAGTTAGTCAGGTCAGTCAGTAAAGTCCAGTTAGTCCAGGTCAGTCAGTTAAAGTCCAGTTAGTCCCAGGGTCAGTCGTAAAGTCCAGTTAGTCCCGGGTCAGTCAGTAAAGTCAGTTAGTCCCAGGTCAGTCAGTAAAGTCCAGTTAGTTCCCAGGTCAGTCAGTAAAGTCCAGTTAGTTCCCAGGTCAGTCAGTAAAGTCCAGTTAGTCCCAGGTCAGTCAGTAAAGTCCAGTTAGTCCCAGGTCAGTCAGTAAAGTCCAGTTAGTCCCAGGTCAGTCAGTAAAGTCCAGTTAGTCCCAGGTCAGTCAGTAAAGTCCAGTTAGTCCCAGGTCAGTCAGTAAAGTCCAGTTAGTCCCAGGTCAGTCGTAAGTCCAGTTAGTCCCAGGTCAGTCAGTAAAGCCCAAAGTTAGTCCCAGGTCAGTCAGTAAAGTCCAGTTAGTCCCAGGTCAGTCAGTAAAGTCCAGTTAGTCCCAGGTCAGTCAGTAAAGTCCAGTTAGTCCCAGGTCAGTCAGTAAAGTCCAGTTAGTCCCAGGTCAGTCAGTAAAGTCCAGTTAGTTCCCAGGTCAGTCAGTAAAGTCCAGTTAGTCCCAGGTTCAGTCAGTAAAGTCCAGTTAGTCCAGGTCAGTCAGTAAAGTCCAGTTAGTCCCAGGTCAGTCAGTAAAGTCCAGTTAGTCCCAGGTCAGTCAGTAAAGTCCAGTTAGTCCCAGGTCAGTTTCCAGTTACAGTAAAGTCCAGTTAGTCCCAGGTCAGTCAGTAAAGTCCAGTTAGTCCCAGGTCAGTCAGTAAAGTCCAGTTAGTCCCAGGTCAGTCAGTAATGTCCAGTTAGTTCCCAGGTCAGTCAGTAAAGTCCAGTTAGTCCCAGGTCAGTCAGTAAAGTCCAGTTAGTCCCGGGTTTCAGTCAGTAAGTCCAGTTAGTCCCAGGTCAGTCAGTAAAGTCCAGTTAGTCCCAGGGTCAGTCAGTAAAGTCCAGTTAGTCCTGGTCAGTCATTTAAAGTCCAGTTAGTCCTGGTCAGTCAGTAAAGTCCAGTTAGTCCAGGGTCAGTCAGTAAAGTCCAGTTAGTCCCAGGTCAGTCAGTTAAAGTCCAGTTAGTCCCAGGTCAGTCAGTAAAGTCCAGTTAGTCCCAGGTCAGTAAAGTAAAGTCAGTTAGTCCAGGTCAGTCAGTAAAGTCCAGTTAGTCCCAGGTCAGTCAGTAAAGTCCAGTTAGTCCCAGGTCAGTCAGTAAAGTCCAGTTAGTCCCAGGTCAGTCAGTAAAGTCAGTTAGTCCCAGGTCAGTCAGTAAAGTCCAGTTAGTCCCAGGTCAGTCAGTAAAGTCCAGTTAGTCCCAGGTCAGTCAGTAAAGTCAGTTAGTCCCAGGTCAGTCAGTAAAGTCCAGTTAGTCCCAGGTCAGTCAGTAAAGTCCAGTTAGTCCCAGGTCAGTCAGTAAAGTCCAGTTAGTCCCATGTCAGTCAGTAAAGTCCAGTTAGTCCAGGTCAGTCAGTAAGTCCAGTTAGTCCAGGTCAGTCAGTAAAGTCCAGTTAGTCCCAGGTCAGTCAGTAAAGTCCAGTTAGTCCCAGGTCAGTCAATAAAGTCCAGTTAGTCCCAGGTCAGTCAGTAAAGTCCAGTTAGTTCCCAGGTCAGTCAGTAAAGTCCAGTTAGTCCCAGTTCAGTCAGTAAAGTCCAGTTAGTCCCAGGTCAGTCAGTAAAGTCCAGTTAGTCCCAGGTCAGTCAGTAAAGTCCAGTTAGTCCCAGGTCAGTCAGTAAAGTCCAGTTAGTCCCATGTCAGTCAGTAAAGTTCAGTTAGTCCCAGGTCAGTCAGTAAAGTCCGTTAGTCCCAGGTCAGTCAGTAAAGTCCGGTTAGTCCCAGGTCAGTCAGTAAAGTCCAGTTAGTCCCAGGTCAGTCAGTAAAGTCCAGTTAGTCCCAGGTCAGTCAGTAAAGTCCGGGTTAGTCCCATGGTCAGTCAGTAAAGTCCAGTTAGTCCCAGGTCAGTCAGTAAAGTCCAGTTAGTCCAGGTCAGTAAAGTAAAGTCCAGTTATTTCCAGGTCAGTCAGTAAAGTCCAGTTAGTCCCAGGTCAGTCAGTAAAGTCCAGTTAGTCCCAGGTCAGTCAGTAAAGTCCAGTTAGTCCCAGGTCAGTCAGTAAGTCCAGTTAGTTCCCATGTCAGTCAGTAAAGTCCAGTTAGTCCAGGTTCAGTCAGTAAAGTCCAGTTAGTCCCAAGTCAGTCAGTAAAGTCCAGTTAGTCCCAGGTCAGTCAGTAAAGTCCAGTTAGTCTCCAGGTCAGTCAGTAAAGTCCAGTTAGTCCCATGTCAGTCAGTAAAGTCCAGTTAGTCCCAGGTCAGTCAGTAAAGTCCAGTTAGTCCCAGGTCAGTCAGTAAAGTCCAGTTAGTTCCAGGTTTCCCCAGTCAGTAAAGTCCAGTTAGTCCCAGGTCAGTCAGTAAAGTCCAGTTAGTCCCAGGTCAGTCAGTAAAGTCCAGTTAGTCCCAGGTCAGTCAGTAAAGTCCAGTTAGTCCCATGTCAGTCAGTAAAAGTCCAGTTAGTCCCAGGTCAGTCAGTAAAGTCCAGTTAGTCCCAGGGTCAGTCAGTAAAGTCCAATTAGATTCCAGGTCAGTCAGTAAGTCCTGTTAGTTTCCAAGTCCAGTAGGTTTAAAGTCCAGTTAGTCCCAGAGTCAGTCCAGTAAAGTCCATATATATGAACATCTGCCCCCTTTCAGTTCAAAATGTTGTTTCATAAGATCCACTGTATGAAGGATCTTCATAAGATCCACTGTATGAAGGATCTTCATAAGATCCACTATATGAAGGATCTTCATAAGATCCACTGTATGAAGGATCTTCATAAGATCCACTGTATGAAGGATCTTCATAAGATCCACTTATGAAGGATCTTCATAAGATCCACTGTATGAAGGATCTTCATAGATCTACTATATGAAGGATCTTCATAAGATCCACTGTATGAAGGATCTTCATAAGATCCACTGTATGAAGGATCTTCATAAGATCTACTATATAATGGATCTTCATAAGATCCACTGTATGAAGGATCTTCATAAGATCCACTATATGAAGGATCTTCATAAGATCCACTGTATGAAGGATCTTCATAAGATCCACTGTATGAAGGATCTTCATAAGATCCACTGTATGAAGGATCTTCATAAGATCCACTGTATGAAGGATCTTCATAAGATCTACTATATATTGGATCTTCATAAGATCCACTGTATGAAGGATCTTCATAAGATCCACTGTATGAAGGATCTTCATAAGATCTACTATATAATGGATCTTCATAAGATCCACTGTATGAAGGATCTTCATAAGATCCACTGTATGAAGGATCTTCATAAGAGAGGCAACTGACTTTTTTATGGCAAGATGGTTACTGACTTGAGTGATGGTTAACAAGTTTTCTTCTCGTGTGTTGGCAGGTGCTGGTGTCGGGGTACTGGTGGTGTGCCCAGGGTTCGTGTACACGGGTCTCATGCGCTACACTCTGCACAAGTACAACTGGTTCAAGAAACTCTGCTTCACCCCAATTATTTTCCTCTTTATGAGGAATTCAGAGCAGGTGAGATTATTTGTTTTTATTCTTAGTCTGATGTTCTTCAGTTTTTAGCTAAGACATGTATATAAATCATTAAGAAGGGTGTTAAAGCTTACTACTCGGCGGCGTCAGTGGCAGAAGCAGCAGCAGCGGCAGCAGTGGCAGCTGCAGCAGTAGCAGTAGACCGAGGTGTAAGATGATAGGTTCTTAAATGCAGTGTTTGACATAGGATATTGATCTCTGTCAGGTCACAAGCTGGACCACTCATCACACAAACTATTATTTTCCCTTCATTCCTCTTAATAGTTGCTGTCTCAGTCATACCAAACTTTTGTACTGTCTCCATCATACATCTTCCACTTTTAAGTTGATCTAATATCTCAGTTTTTTCAAAATACTCCAGTCTTCCATGCATTTTTCTTCTTGGCATCTCTGGCATCACCAACACTCCTCTTAGCTGCCATGGTTGCTATCTACTGATGCATTGAGATGATTTTATAAAAAAAAATTGACTGAAGCACAACTGGATATCTTATGGGACACATACGCACCAAGAACTGATGCCATTAGAGGCTGTTAACTAGGCCTCCTTTATTAAGACAATCACCTCTTCATTAATGACCAGCAATAAGGAGGGAAACATGTTTCAGTCCTTCCAGGACCATTGTCAAGCCACAAATGAACCAAAAACATGTAGAGAAGGCTTTAACTATCTTGTGTCCCTTCATATGTCTCTATGTGCCCAGTTAACCCTTTGACTGCTTCGGTCACATATATATGTCTTATGAGCCACCGTTTTTGACGTATATATACTCATAAATTCTAGTGGCTTCAAATCAAGCAGGAGAAAGCTGGTAGGCCCACATGGAGAGAATGGGTCTGTGTGGTCAGTGTGCACCATATAAAAAAATCCTGCAGCACGCAGTGCATGATAGGAAAAAAAAAAACTCCGACCGTTTTTTTTAATTAAAATGCCGACTTTGTGGTCTATTTTCATATAGTATTTATGGTTGTATTCTCGCTTTCTTGGTCTCATTTGATAGAATGGAAAACATATTATAGAAACAGAGGTGATTTTGTTGGTTTTATATGAAAAGAACCTTGAAATGGAGCTCAAATTAGGGGAAATGTTTGATTTTTGCCGATGTTCAAAAGTAAACAAATGATGTCATTTTCCAATAAATGTCCAAGTAGCCATTCTAATATGCAGTCATGAATGGGTTGATGTTATTTATACAATTATTACAGTATTGCAGTAGTCTGCATAACTAGTAAATCTTCTATTTTTTGTTTGAATAAAAATTCAGAATAGAAAGCAAGAGTACTGTCAGAGGGGCTGGGAGATGTGACTGATGAACATAGAAAATGTTATTTTAGAGCCAGGAATGTCTGCATTATTCATTGTGGACCCTATTTTGAAATTGTCATATTTTTAACCCTTAAACTGTCCAAACGTAGATCTACGTTTTTTCAACATTTGAAAGTATGTAAAAAAACATAGACCTTTTTTTTTTTACATTTGAAAGCGTGTAAAAAAACTTTGATCTACGTTTTTTTTTTTTATATTTGAAAATATGTAAAAAAACATTAATCTACTTTTGGAGCGCTACGCACTTGAACGTAGATCTGTTTGGACAGTTTAAGGGTTAATTTTCATGAAATTGGCCAAATTGCAAATTTCTGACCACGTTATTGGGTAGCTGAAATCAGTAAATGGGCAGTTACTTGTACTCAGACGATAGAAAAAATGGAGTTCTAAAGAAATAGCTATGAGTTTGGTCGACTGGAACAATGGAATTAGCCGAAAATAGGGCTCAAAATGGACAAAATCGCCGATTCGTAAATATCGCTGAGGTCGCTAACTTCGCGAAGGCGTAATTCCATCAGTTTTCCATCAAATTTCATTCTTTTGGTGTCATTACAATTGGGAAAAGATGCTCTATCATTTCATAAGAAAAATCATTTTTTTTTTTTTAAATTTTGCGACACCAGGAGACACCTCAGGATTTGGGGTTATGACAGTCAAGAGGTTAATGATCCAAGTCATACCAAAATATTATCATAAGTTTGAGTCTCCTGTGAGTGGGTTATTTGTGTAGTGTGTAAGGTGGGTAAAAATGGGTGGAGGTAGGGGAAAAAGTAGTGGCAAAAGTAGTAATGAGGTATTAGCAGCTGAAGTATTAAGAGTATTAACCCGTAAACGGTCCTAACGTATATATACGTTTTTACTGCTAGTGCCCCAAACGTATATACAGTGGACCCCCGGTTAACGATATTTTTTCACTCCAGAAGTATGTTCAGGTGCCAGTACTGACCGAATTTGTTCCCATAAGGAATATTGTGAAGTAGAGTAGTCCATTTCAGAGCCCCAAACATACACGTACAAACGCACTTACATAAATACACTTACATAATTGTTCGCATTCGGAGGTGATCGTTATGCGGGGGTCCACTGTACTGTATACGTTTTATGTGTCATACATTTAACATTGCCACGATAAGCCTGAGTCACCTAGACATGAGAGAATGGGTGTGAGCACTCACTGTGCGCCATATTAAAATAATTGGGGATGCCTGGGTACCATATGCTCTTTTTTAAAAAAAAAACAACAATGTTTTTTCCTCAAAAAAGTTGGGGTAGTACGGTAGTGAACGTATATATATGTTTGGACCATTTATGGGTTAACCCTTTGACTGTTATAGTCATATATATACGTCTTACGAGGTACCGTGTTCGACGTATATATACTCATAAATTATAGCGGCTTCAAATCAAGCAGGAGAAAGCTGGTAGGCCCACATGTGAGAGAATGGGTCTGTGTGGTCAGTGTGCACCATATAAAAAAATCCTGGAGCACGCAGTGCATAATGAGAAAAAAAAAAAAAACTCCGACCATTTTTTGTAATTAAAATGCCGACTTTGTGGTCTATTTTCATATAGTATTTATGGTTGTATTCTCGTTTTCTTGGTCTCATTTGATAGAATGGAAAACATATTATAGAAATAGAGGTGATTTTGATTGATTTTACTATAAAAAGAACCTTGAAATGGAGCTCAAAGTAGGGGAAAATGTTTGATTTTTGCCGATGTTCAAAAGTAAACAAGTGATGTCATTGTCCAATAAATGTCCAACTAGCCATTCTAATATGCAGTCATGAATGGGTTGACATTATTTATACAGTTATTACAGTATTGCAGTAGTCTGCATAACAGTAAATCTTCTATTGTTTGCTTGAATAAAAATTCAAAATAGAAAGCAAGAGTAATATCAGAGGGGCCTGGAGACATGACTGATGAACAAAGAATATGTTATTTTAGAGCCAGGAATGTCTGCATTGTTCATTCTGGACCTTATTTTGAAATTGTCATATTTTTTAATTTTCGTGAAATTGGCCAAATTGCAAATTTCTGACCACGTTATTGGGTAGTTTAAATGGGTAAATGGGCAGTTTCTTGTACTCAATCGATAGAAAAAATGGAGTTCTAAAGAAATAGCTATGAGTTGGGACAACTGGAACAATGGAATTTGCCGAAAATAGGGCTCAAAGTGGGCGAAATCGCCGATTTGTAAATATCGCTGAGGTCGCTAACTTCGAGAGAGTGTAATTCCGTCAATTTTTCATCAAATTTCATGTTTTTGGTGTCATTACAACCGGGAAAAGATTCTCTATCATTTTATAAGAAAAAATATTTTTTGTTTTTTTTTTGAAATTTTGCGACACCATTGGGGGTTGCGACAGTCAAAGGGTTAAAAGCAGTAGAAGCAATAGTAGAGAATGTTGTAGCTTTTTTTTTTCATCAAACCTGCCATATCCCACTGAGGCAGGGTGACCTAAAAAGAAAAATGAAAGTTTGTCTTTTTAAATTTAATTATGTATACAGGAGAAGGTGTTAGTAGCCCCTTTCTCCTGGCATGTTAGTTGCCTCTTTAAGACACGCATGGCTTACGGGAGGAAGAATTGTTTCCCACTTCCCTATGGAGATAAGAGGAAATAAACAAGAACAAGAACTAGTGTATATACAGCCTTTCCTCACTTAATGACGGAGTCCCATTCCTAAGACCACATCGTTAAACGAATTCATCGCTAAGTGAGGAGCATACTACAGCGGACCCCCGCCTTACAGTGGCATCGCGTTATGTTAAATCCGCCATACGATACATTTGAATGCAAAAATTTTGCCTCGCCTCATGCTAAAAAACTTGCCTCATGCGATTCGTCCGGGACGTGTCCCATGTGTAGCCTCAGTGCCAGTGTTTACAAGCCAGCCAGTGCGGTTGCATCCACACATACATTCGGTACATTTCACCTTATCCCAGTGTTTTTTGTGCTTGTAACTGCAAAATAAGTCACCATGGGCCCCAAGAAAGCTAGTGCCAACCCTGTGGTAAAAAGAGTGAGAATTAATATGGAAATTAAGAAAGATTTTGAAGGGTTTGGGGCTAACCCTGAGAAGCCTATGCCAGTTGTGGAATCCATTGTGCCTACTTCAAAGATTAAGGAAATGTGTGCAAAGTGGGTTGAACTGCAAACCATTGTGGATGAAAATCACCCTCACACAGCTATTGCAAGCTGTGCTGGTGACTATTACAATGACAATGTTGTGGCCCATTTTAGGCAAATCTTAAAGGAATGGGAGGTACAGAGCTCTATGGACAGATTTATTGTGCGACAGAGGTCCAGTGACTCTCAAGCTGGTCCTAGTGGCATTAAAAGAAGAAGGGAAGTAACCCCGGAAAAGGACTTGCTACCTCAATTTCTAATGGAAGGGGATTCCCCTTCTAAACAATAACAACTTCCACACTCTCCCCTCCTCCCATCCCATCAATCATCACCAGATCTTTAATGAAGGTAAGTGTCATGTATTCTATTCTTAGTAGAGTAGTAATTGTACATGTCTTCTTCAGTTTGTGTGTATTAAAATTAATATTTCATGTGGTAAAATTTTTTTTTTTTCATACTTTGGGGTGTCTTGCACGGATTAATTTGATTTCCATTATTTCTTATGGAGAAAATTAATTTGCCTTACGATAATTTCGGTTTATGATGAGTTCTCAGGAACGGATTAATATCGTAAGGCGGGGGTCCACTGTATAATGGTAGTGGGTTTGTGTCAACCATCTTTGATATTGTTTTAAAGTCATCTTTGCACCATTTATAACATTTCTGGTATATTTTTAAATGTTTATACAGTAGTGTACTGTGTATTGAAATAAACAGTAGAGGAACTCAGCTCTAATATACATTATTTAGGTATAAATACTGGTCATTGAGCCCGTTGTAAGTTCGAGGCGTCGGTAAACGAGTGCGTCGCTTAGTGAGGACAGACTGTATATGCTTATACATGCATGTGTAGTGTGGCCTAAGTGTAAGTAGAAGTAGCAAGACGTACCTGAAACCTTGCATGTTTATTAGACAGAAAAAAAAAAAAGCCAGATATCCTACCATCATGTAAAACAATTATGGGTTTTCATTTCACACTCACTTAGCAGAACAGTAGTACCTCCTTGGGCGGTACTACTGCCACAGGATGGTAGTACCTCCATGGGTGGTTGCTATATACCAACCTACTACCACAGGATGGCAGTACCTCTCTGGGTGGTTGCTGTCTATCAGCCTACTGCTGAGGACTGTAGTAGTTGTGAAAGTAATAGTAGTGGTAGTATACAAGAACACAGGAGCACTGTAGAAGAGCTACTGAGTCATGTACATAGTGCAAAACCCAACACAGGTAAGGTAAAGAAAATGCAGGAGACCAGTCAAGAGGAGTAGGCAGAGGAGGATGAGGTGGAGGCAGAGGCAGAGTCACAAGTGCTCTGAACATTAAAACATTTGACATATTAAGAACTGCTGGAGATATCTTAACAAACAAAGCCAGGATAATAATTAATGTTAAAGAAGTTGAATATAAGACTGTTTTAACGAGATGGCATCTTTGAAGTTAAAAGAAGGGTAGACAATTTAAGCAGAGAACCAATTAAAGGATGACTGTGATCTCTAATATGACAGTCAAGTGAACTGCTAGTGTCAGCAAGGTGAACACTTCTTTTGTGTTCTTTAAGTCTGTCAGAAAGAGAGAGTGGCCAGTGGCACCAAAGTACAGTGGACCCCTGCCTAACGATATTAATTCGTTCCTGAGAGCTCATTGTATGCCGAAATTATCGTAAGGTGAATTAATTTTCCCCATAAGAAATAATGGAAATCAAATTAATCCGTTCCTGACACCCCAAAGTATGAAAAAAATTTTTTTTACCACATGAAATATTAATTTTAATACACACAAACTGAAGAAGACATGCACAGTTAATACTCTACTAAGAATAGAATATATGACACTTACCTTTATTGAAGATCTGGTGATGATTGATGGGATGGGAGGAGGGGAGAGTGTGGAAGTTGTTATTGTTTAGAAGGGGAATCCCCTTCCATTAGGACTTGAGGTATCAAGTCCTTTTCCGGGGTTACTTCCCTTCTTCTTTTAATGCCACTAGGACCAGCTTGAGAGTCACTGGACCTCTGTCGCACAACGTATCTGTCCATAGAACTCTGTACCTCTCGTTCCTTTATGATTTGTCTAAAGTGGTTCACACCATTGTCATTGTAATAGTCACCAGCGCAGCTTGCAATAGCTGTGTGAGGGTGATTTTCATCCGTAAAGGTTTGCAGTTCAACCCACTTTGCACACATTTCCTTAATGTCTTTTTTCAATTCCATACTAATTCTCACCCTTTTTACCACAGGGATGGCACTAGAAGTTTTCTTGGGGTCCTTGGTGACTTATTTTGTAGTTACAAGCACTAAAAACACTGGGATAGTGTGAAATGTACTGAATGTATGCATAGATGCGACCGCACTGGCTGGCTTGTAAACACTGGCGCTGAGGCCACACGTGGGATGCGTCCCGGACGAATCACGTAAGGCGAGTTTTTTATTGTGAGGCGAGGCAAAAATTTTTGCGTTACAATGTATCGTATGGCGGATTTAACGTAATGTGATGCCATCGTAAGGCGGGGGTCCACTGTATTAAAATCTACCTGGAGTCTACCTGGAGGGTGTTCTGGGGGTCAATGCTCCCACAGTCCAGTCTATGACTAGGTCTCCCATTGGATCAGGGCCTGATCAACCAGGCTGTTACTACTGGCCACACTTAGGACAAGAAGAGAAGGAAATGGAGTAGACACCAGAAACATCAGTGACTGGAGAAGCATAAACTAAATTACTGTGAAGGGTATTACTGTGACTGAATGTAACTTTGATAGATAAATGATGGAAGATGTTGCTGAGATTTTGATGACAGGAAAAGCAAAGAATAGAATGTTTTAAGGAGAAGGAAGTGTGTTGAGCATAAGAATAGACAGATTTTTATGACACCTGAAGGATAGTCAAGGGTGTCAGAGAACCAGCTCTGAAGAGTAGAGACTTCTGAGTCAAGAAATGAAGGGTGACATGGAGGATAAGGAAGAAGAATTGGATGGTGATGTGGAGGATAAGGAGGAAGACATGGAGGGTGACATGGAGGACAAGGAGGAAGACATGGAGGAAGAAGGAAGACTTTTCTTGACAAGGAGCAGATGAGACAGATCTCATGGTGTGATGTATTGTCCACTAAACTGAAGTCATCCTATATCAGCTTTACTGTCATCCTATATAAATTTGTCATACCATACCAGTTCTACCATGTTCTATATAAACTTATGCCATCCTATACAAGTTTTAAGGCATTCTTTATAAACTAATACAATAATTTCTCAAGGAACTCATCCAGATATCATGATTTATAAATCCTCTGTAAGAGGCTCTACTGTAATTAATATAATTATTATTTACATCACACAGAAATTAATATCTCATATATTTTTGGTCAGGGTGCTCAGAGCGTAATTCACTGCGCTGTATCAGAGGAGCTGGAGGGCATTGAATGGGCCTTCGTGCGTGAGTGTAAGATCGATAAGCTGGCGGAAGTTGCTCAGGATCCTACTGCTGCCACCAAGCTCTGGCATATCTCCATGAATATGGTCGGCGAGGGGAAGGTGGGAACAGCTGGTACTGAGGTGGAAAAAACAGTTGGTGTTGAGGTGGGAACAGCTAGTGCTGAGGTGGGAACAGCTGGTGTTGAGGTGGGAACAGCTGGTGTTGAGGTGGGAACAGCTAGTGGTGAGGTGGGAACAGCTAGTGGTGAGGTGGGAACAACTGGTGGTGAGGTGGGAGCAGCTGGTGGTAAGGTGGGAACAGCTGGTGTTGAGGTGGGAACAGCTAGTGGTGAGGTGGGAACAACTGGTGGTGAGGTGGGAACAGCTGGTGGTAAGGTGGGAACAGCTGGTGGTAAGGTGGGAACAGCTGGTGTTGAGGTGGGAACAGCTAGTGGTGAGGTGGGAACAACTGGTGGTGAGTGGGAACAGCTGGTGGTAAGGTGGGAACAGCTGGTGGTGAGAGGGAAAGTGAGGCTGTGGAAGAATATAGATCATCATTAAGGGAAGCAGGAAGAACACTTGTAGAGAGCAGCAGCCTGATTGCCATGGAAGAAGAGCCAGTGGATGACGAGGGGATAACTCTAGATGACGATGAGGACGACGTCGAAGGAAGCTATGATGTCACCAAAGATGCAGCGACGTCAGACGAGGAACAACCTTCAACGGATGAAGAGGAAGGGTCGTTAGATGATGACAAGCCGCTGTTGCTGCTCCAGCAACGCACGGCAAACTAGCTTTATAAAACCTTTGTAAATATTTACCCTTAATGTGCAGCCTCCCCCTTGAATTGTGAAGCAAAGTGTGCTAGTAAATAGCCCTTAGATGTAGTGCATATTTTTGTAAATGAGAGCAAGTGCCTGTACTAGTAGACTATTATGGGTGGCATCTTGCATGACAGGACCTTAAGTGCAGGGTTTCCTGGATTATCTTAGTTTAATTTAATAATCCCCTGAAAGGTGCTTCTGGGGGTCACTGACCCCTTGGACTGGTCCCAAACCAGGCTTCCTGGGGGACCAAGGTCTCATGATCAATCAGACTGTTGTTACTGGTAAGATAAATGAACTTAGAAATGGATCTTTTATTGAAAACAAACTTGTTGATCATTGCAGAACAATAGTGGGCTCAGGAGCTATAGCTCAACACTAGCAGCAGTAGCCCAGGAGCTATAACCCAACACTAGGAGTAGTGGTCTAGGAGCTATAACCCAACACTAGCAGCAGTGGTCCAGGAGCTAATCAACATGCGCAGTGGTCAGAGCTTAACCAACACTAACAGCAGTGGTCCAGGAGCTATAACCCAACACTAGCAGCAGTGGTCCAGGAGCTATAACCCAGCACTAGCAGCAGTGGTCCAGGAGCTATAACCCAGCACTAGCAGCAGTGGTCCTGGAACTATAACCCAACACTAGCAGCAGTGGTCCAGGAACTATAACCCAACACTAGCAGCAGTGGTCCAGGAGCTATATCCCAACACTAGCAGCAGTGGTCCAAAAGCTATAGCTCAACTCATGGGGGGTTGGTCACTAGTCTCTTAACAATAATAAAATAATATAATTAGCCTCTGTTTTTTTGTCACCATTTATGATTGGCTCTTGATCCAAGGCACTGGAGGTGCCCTCCTGGTCCTCAGATCAAAGCTAACAACTTTACCTTCTGCCCCAAGGCACTCAACCACTTAAATAAGGTCACTTACCGAGTTGACCTTAATTACAGCACTTTCCTGAGCTCATGTTCAACAAGGTCACTTTCTGAAAGTTGACCTTAATAACACTGTTTCCTGAACTCAAGTCCTAACATTAACAGTCATAGGCCTAACACCTACAAATTTTAATAGTCCTTCCAAAATTTAGAGGTCAATAGGCCTACAAAATTTTGAACATTCAGTATGTGGAATTAAAGTTGGGGAGGGAGGGGGGGTATAAAAATTTGAAAGCTTATACCATTAGGTCTCAACGATGGTAGAAATTAGTGATGTATCGGATATCTGCATCCACAGAACATCCGCACAATTTCTTACATCCACATCTGCATCCGCATTTTACTGTAAACAGATATCCGCATATGCATCCGCATCTGAATCCGCGGAATATTTGCACAATTTCTCGTATCCGCATCAACATCCACGGAACATCTGCACGATTTCTTGCATCCACATCCGCAAAATAAGTAAGACATCCTCGTACACATCCGCATCCGCGGATATCTGAATTTTCACATCCGATACATCTCTAGTAGAAATGAGTCTTATGGTGTGGTTGAAGCACTGATGTGTCCTATAACGTGCGCTGACGTGTTTTGATATGCTCTGATGTGCTGTACTAAGTTCCAGGTTATATGACTGTCTCTTAAGCCTCTTCACATAACAATATAGTCTTTATAGCCTTTAATAGCCTTTAGGCCTTTCTTGAGAGCCTTGACTAGGTCCATTGGCTGGATGAGGATGGATATGTCTCTGCCCACAGCGTTGAGACGATCAGCAATCTCCAGATGCTGCAAAGATCATAAATGTTGTAAATAATTCAGATATTGCAAAGATCACACATATATATAATTCAGGGGACAAGAAGATAGAGATCACTCAGACCATGGGAAGCAAGCCAGACAGTTACCACTCCAGAGACAGGGTTTTTTAGTGACAGGAAGAAAAAAAACTGGCAAGAAATGACAGTAATATTACACCAACTTGGATCACTACTGGAGTGGAGGCACAGTCAGTGTCCTCTGTTTCAGAACAACAGATATTAGTGCTAGCAAACAAATCTCCCCGATAAACCATCAATACAACATTTGTATTTGCAAATATACAGGGTGTAAAGCCATCAACAAACAACAAAATACCTTTCGTCAGTGGACTGCTCACAGGGTCAAATGCAATGTTTGTGGCTTTCACAGAGACCCACATAAAGGATCACTTTGATAATGAAATATGGATCCCAGGTTATAACTTATTCAGATGCAGTGGAAAGAACAGGTAACAAGGGGGTTTTGGCCTGTATGTCACAGTCACTCATTTGCTCTAAATTACTAAACACCTCAAATGATGTAGTTGATGTTTTGGCAGTAAAAACTGAAAAACAAAACCTTGTCATTGTGGTTGTATACAAGCCACTGGATGCAACTTCCCAACAATTCAAGGAACAGCTTTTGAAAACTGACCACTGTCTGGAAAATCTTCCAACTCCTGCCCCAAACATCTTGCTGTTGGGGGATTTCAGCTTAAGACACCTAAAATGGAGGAATGTAGCAAATAATGTTTTAGCAGAGATAACCCCAGGAGGCAGCAGCAGCTCAGATGAATATTCACACACACACACACACACACATGGGCTATTAAATCTTTGCTACAAATAGTGGAGCCAACAAGACTGGAAACTACACTTGACCTCATCTTCACTAATAATAATGACCTGGTAGGAAATATAAGAGTATCAAAGACAATACACTCAGATCACAACATAATATAAACACAGATGTATATGTGCAGGGCTCCTGACCAGTATAAAGTGATCAGTTATGAGGCTGCCATCAACAAAGTCAACTTCAGTAACATAAAGATCTAGTGGGATCAACTTAACTATGTCCTAAATGAAACAAACTGGGAAGGTATTCTAGACAACATGGATCCGAACTTTTGCCTAGAAAGAACTAACTCTGTGGCACTTGAGGTATGCTCAAGGCACATTCCTTAAAGAAAAAAGAAGAGAAGATGTAAATAAAAAGAGAGAGATGCTGTTGAAAGGGGCCAGTATATTTAAATACAAAAGGGGGCACTGGTCAGAAATAGCAAATATTGAACCTAAGCTGATGGAATCATACCGGAGACAAACACAGGAAGAACTTAAAGCCATAAATGAAATTGAAAGAAACCCAAAATACTTCTTTTCTTATGCTAGATCTAGGGCAAAAACAACATCCAGTATTGGACCCCTGGTTAGAAGTGTTGGGACTTGTACAGATGACAGCAAATAAATGAGCGAGATACTGAAGTCCCAATGTGACTTAGCATTTAGTGAGCCATTGACCAAACTAAGAGTCGACAGTGTAAGTGAATTTTTTATGACTGAGTCCTAAAACTTGGTTAATTCAAAAAATTTTGATATTATCCTAATATCACAAAACTGAAAAGGAAGTGAATGACATGGCCATGAACTCTGCCCCAGCCCAGACTTGTGGAACTCCATGTTCATCAAGAACTGTAAGAAGCCCCTATCATGTGCCTTAAATATTCTGTGGAGAGGGAGCATGGACACAGGGGTCATCCCACAGTCACTAAAAATAACATACAAAACCCCACTCCACACAGTGGGCAGTATAGCAATTGTAAAGAATTACAGACCAATTGCACTAACGTCCCACGTCATAAAAATCTTTGAAAGGATTTTAAGAGGCAAGATCGCCACCAACTTAGATACCCATCAGTTTCACAATCCAGGGCAGCATGAATTTAGAGCAGGACCACTGGACCACTATGACATGGTCTTGGATGCTCTGGAAGACAGACAAGATGCAGATGTAGTATACACAGACTTTGTGTAAGCCTTGGACAAGTGTGACTATGGTGTAATAGCACACAAAATGTGTGATAAAGGAATAACAGGAAAATTTGGTAGATGGATCTACAACTTCCTAACAAACAGAATGCACAGAGTAATAGTAAACAGAGTAAAGTCTGATGTGGCTACAGTGAAAAGCTCTGTTCCACAAGGTACAGTACTCACTTCCATCATGTTCATCATCCTTATATCTGACACAGACAGAGATGTAAGCCACAGCACTGTGTCATCCTTTGTGGATGACACCCTAATTTGCATGGTGTCATCCATCGAAGACATTGCAAGTCTCCAAGCTGACATCAACCAAATCTTTACATGGGCTGCAGAAAACAATATGAAGTTCAATGAAGACAAATTTCCATTCCTCTGTTATGGGAAACTCGAGGTAACTAAAACTATATTGGAGTATAAAGCAAATTCCAATCACACAGTAAGGAGAAAAACTAATGTGAAGAACCTGGGAGTGATAATGTCAGAGGATCTCATTTTCAAAGATCACAATGTATCTACTACATCTAGGAAAATGATAGGATGGATAATGAGAACCTTCAAATATGTATAGGGATGCCAAGCCAATGATTCTCTTTGAATCGCTTGTTCTGTCTAGGCTGGAATATTGCTGTACACGACAGCCCTTTTCAAGAGAGGTAAATTTGCAGACCTGGAGAATATACAGAAAACTTGCATGGCACTTATAAGTATGAGAAAGCACCTAAATTACTGGGAAAGGTTGAAGTTCCTTGATTATACTTCCTGGAATGCAGGTGAGAAAGATAATGATAATACACACCTGGAAAATTCCAGAGGTACTAGTCCCAGATTTGTACATGAAAATCACTCCCTACGAAAGCAAAAGACTTGGCAGGAGATGCAACATCCTCCCACTGAAAAGCAGGGGTGCCACAAGTATACTAAGAGACAGTACAATAAGTGTTAGGGGCCCAAGACTGTTCAACTGCCTCCCAGCATACATAAGGGGGATTACCAATAGACCCCTGGCTGTCTTCAAGAAGGTGCTGGACAGGCACCTACAGTCAGTGCCCGACCAGCCAGGCTGTGGCTCGTACGACGGTTTACTTGCGTCCAGCAATAACATCCTGGTTGATCAGGCACTGATCCACTGCCATGCAAGGTCACTGACTGGGCTGCATAGGCATTGACCCCCAAAACCTCCTCCAAGCATACTCCAGGTGTTATAAGTGATTCATGTGTTGCAAAGATGCAACATGTTAGGAAAATTACCATTTAGTAATGTTGATACATGTATTGATCTACCTAACCTTTTTATACAAATGATCTCCTGCCACATATTGATTATAAATGCTTCAAAAAGACAGGCTTTCACTTAATTCATGTCAGTGCAAGGTCACTTTTATCCAAAATATCTGGAATTAGGATACTAGCTAACAGAACCAGGGTGGTAATTGAATCTTGGTCGCATGATACGGTGACTGACGACGAGGGTAAAATAGAAGGTTATAATATACAGCACTTAGATAGGAATAGAAAAGGCAGTGGGGTATGTGCCTATGCAAGGAATGACTTAACCTACAACCCAAGACCTGATTTGAATGATAATAGACTGGAGATTCTATGGCTTGAGGTGTTGTTACCCAAGACTAAACCAGTCCTAGTAGGAACTAGTTACTTCCTTCCCCTCCCCCCCATGATCAGTTTTTAGAGGATTTTTTGAGAGTCTATTCCAGAATTGATGGCAATTCTGAGACCGTGATGTTGGGAAACTTCAATATCTGTTTCCAACAGTAAAATAATGGGTTGTTTTACAGGTATAAGCAAATTCTGGGATTAATAGTTACACTCAACTAATTAATGCATCACCCTGGATCACACAGTTCTCAGTCAGCATATTAGACCACATCCTTTGTAATTGTTCTGACAACATTAGTCAGTCAGGTATCATTACCACAGGTCTTAGTGATCATTTCATCATTTTTTTTGTACCAGGAAAATCATTAGGGATCGGACAGGCCTACACAGGATGATTAAAATGAGGTCAACTAGAAACTACAGCAAATACCGGTAAATAGGGTACAAAATTGTGATTGGACAGTGATTATAAGTTGCACGGATGTAAATGATGTCTGGGAAAAATTCAAAACAATGTTCACTGCCATCCTTGAAAATATTACACCAGTTGAAGAGGTTAGGATTCAACGAAGAACCAAACTCTGGATGACTACTGAGATACAGTGGACCCTCGACATTCGATATGAAAAAAAAAAAATTTACCACATGAAATATTAAGTTTAATGCAATAGAATAATTACAATAACAATAGATTAATAACAATAGAATAATTGACACTTACCTTTAATAAAGATCTGGTGATGATTGATGGGATGGGAGGAGGGGAGAGTGTGGATGGTGTTAGTGTTTAGAAGGGGAATCCCCTTCCATTAGGACTTGAACTGTCAGCCTCACCATGCCTTACCACACTGTGTATGCCACTATTATTCTTAAATCTTTCAAACCAACCTTTGCTGGCCTTAAATTCACTCACATCACCACTAGTTGCAGGCAATTTCTTTACCAAATCATCATGCACTCTGACACATGCACTGCACTTTCGTACTTTGCAATTATCTCTTTCTTCATTTCAATAGTCATTAGCACCTTTTTTCTCGAAGGGTTGGTACTGGAAGCTTTCTTGGGGCCCATGGTTACTTATTTTGCAGAAACAAGCACCAAAAACAGTGATAATGTGGATAATATGGAATGTACCGAATGTATCCTTAGATGCACGCACACTGGCTGGCTTGTAAGCACTGGCACACACGGTGCAGTTCAGGCCACATGTGGACACGTCTCGTACGAATCGTATTGAATGTCAGGTTTTCCATCGAGTGTTGAGGCGAAATTTTTTGCGTTAAAATTCATTGAATGTCGGATTTATCGAATGTCGATGCCATTGAATGT